GATCTTAAAAGCTTGCAAGCTGCCATCTAGATGCAACAATGGGTCTCTCCTAGTCCAGAGCCAAGAAGAATGAAGAAAACCAAAAATTCATGGAAACTATCAGTCCTAGCGACTTGTACACCATCTGATCTGCAGCCTATATGACTAGGAGACCAGAAGAAATAGACGGTGCTTGGCTACTACTGTCAACCACTTGGAAGAGAATCTTTGTAGGAGATCCTGGATAGACAGGGGGAACAATGTGGAACAAAAGTCAAAATCATTTGGGGAAAAAAAAAAAGTGGGGAACAGGTTAACAGTCAAGTGAATTGGGAAAGGTCCTGAATTAAAAAAAAAAAAAAAAAAGTTCTACACTTTTTTCCATAGCCTTGAGGCCAAGTTGAATTACAGTCTTTGATTTAAAATGTTCCATAAGAGAAGCGGGCTAGAGCAAACTGCTTGGAATTTTAAGGGGGTCTAGAGAGTACCCACCAGCCACTCCTCAGAAGGAAGGTTGGGCAATCTACTTCTGTAGTGATACCACCTTGGAAACCCAAGGAGGGGTAGCTATGAGTCAGTCCGATGGCACATAACAACAATAACAAAAGAGATTACAATGAGTTCGAGGTCAATGACCCAAACAGTAATTGAAATGATTCTGACCAGAGAAGACCTACTATATGCACATACACTTAGCAGTTATCTAACTTTCCCCCACCTTGTCTACCTTCTCTTCCCACCCACTGGCCAGTAGTTTGTTTTTTTTTTAAAAATATAGGAACAAGTTATCATATCAAGTTATGATAATGAATACCAATAGATTACAAATGCCAAATAATATACATTGTGCCCTAAACATCTCAAAATATTTTCTTAAGAATCTGCATATATACTATAGTAGAGCTAACAAGGGACAAGACTGTAGTCACTTCTTGGCCACAGCCAGCTACCCAGAGTGAGCAAGGAGTTGGACCTATGGGCTCGGGACCATGGTCACAGGGGACATCAAGCTCAACTGGTGTAACACACTACACAAAAACATTATTCCACATCCTACTTTGGTGAGTAGCGACTGGGATCTTAAAGCTTGCAAGCAGCCATCTAGAGATAACGATGGGTCTCTCCTCATTCAGAGCAAAGAAGAATGAAGAAAACCAAAGACACATGGAAACAATTAGTCCAAGGGACTGGTATACCATGTGATCCTCAGCCTATACCACTATGAGACGAGAAGAACTAGACTGTGCCCAGCTACTACCATCAACCAGTTGGAGAGGGATCTATGTAGAAGATCCTGGATAGAGCTGTAGAATATTGTGGAACAAAACTCAAAAAAAAGGGACCAGGTTTGCTGGTCTGATAGAGCCTGGTGGAACCACTGAGACTATAGCCCCTTGCTGCCCTTCAGGTCTGGAATTGAACCCACTCCTTGATCTCCAGCCAAACAAAAGACAGGCACATGAGCTGAACATTTACATTAGGCAGATAGGAGACATCAATCATGGGAGATTAGAAGGGCTGTATATGCACATGGAGACAACTGGGGGGGGGTAGGAGTACATGGGAGGGAAGGACACAGGGAAGAGATAACAACCATGGGGAGGAAGTAGGAAGAGAGCTATGGCACTGTAGAAAAATGCAATCAATGTCATGAGAAAGTGTACATGAACTGCTGTATGGAAAATGAATTTGCTCTGTGAACTTTCAGGCAAATCACAATACAAATTAAAAAAAAAAAAAAAATCACCTGCAGAATCTATGTAGGAAAAAAAAATATTAGCACATACTGCACCAAATAACCAGACTGTAAGACTACTAGACTTCCATTCATCTCTCAACAGTAAAATCCTAACTGCAATAGTATCTTCTGAAAAGCCACGTCTGTAGGCCCACACAACCACCACAGTAGAAATAAGGTAGGTAGTAGGAGCTCTGGTAGCATAGTGGCTAAGACACTTGCCTGCTAACCAGACGGCTGGCGGTTCAAACCCACCAGCCACTCCTCGCAAGGAAGGTTGGGCAATCCTACTTCCGTAGTGATACTGCCTCGGAAACCCAAGGAGGGGTCACTATCCCCGCAAGGAAGGTTGGGCAATCCTACTTCCATAGTGATACTGCCTCGGAAACCCAAGGAGGGGTCACTATGAGTCGGGGCCGACTCCACGGCACATAACAACAACAGAGTTAAAACTGAGAGACTGAGGGGCCTATCAAGAAATAAACTCAGTAATGAAGTTTTTGAGTAAGAATCCAAAATTTAACCTATTCTTTACAAAACTATAGAACCCACCTCTGCAAAAAACAAACAAAAGTAGAAGAAATTAACATATTCAGAAACTTCTTCAATTCTTCTCAGCTATTTGCAAAGAAAGGTTAAGGGCAATAAAGATTTCCAAGCCCCACCTGCTTGAAATTCTTTTGTTAAGTTTGAAATGGAGCCTGGGAACTAGTAAGTGTGCTTAAAAAGTTCTCCAGGGGATTCCTAACTGATTGATCAGTTATGTTTGTCAGAAGTACACCCTTTAAAGAAGAACTCCTTCCAACCCTTAAAGACACACGAACAGTCTGTAAAATTGTCTAAGTTCTTCCTATCAATGTTAGTTCAAACGGCACCATGCCATCTCACCTAACTCTTTGTGTCCCCCCTCACCTACAGTGAGTACCTCCTTTTTTCAGTTCATTCCTCTTAAACGAAGTCTTTCTTCGTTATTTCCACTCACTAATGGTCACTAATAATCCGAAGGGTAAAACAAAGGGAAATTATCATTTCAATACTCGGAAATCCTGTCAGTTCTAACATGAAAAAGGAAAAAAAAAACCACATTCTTGATAATACGCACTGAATTTTAAATTAAATAAAACACTTCCAAGGGTAATCCTGAAGCAGCGTTGAAAGATAAGTTGGATTAAGGGTGTCTGCATGTATCAGGGGTGTACCAGATTCTGAAAGAAAAAACTTTAAAACCGGGAAGGTCACCTAGTGGGGAGAATGGGCCCGTGCGGGCACCTGCGACGGCTTTGACACTCGACACCCCAGCCTTCACTCAGGTTGCTAGGAAACAAAAAGGATCCACGTTCCCTGCAATTCCTCCCGGGCCTCGCGGAGTGGAGAGAGGCCTTTAGGGCCTGGGGACAACATGGGCAAGCCTGGCCACCCTCTGGGTGACGAATACGAGGAAATCTCGAGACCGAGAGCTCGGGACGCCGGCGAGGGGCTGGGCTCAGCAACTGGCCCGGAGCCCGTGAGGAGGGCGGGCCCTGCCTCTGTAGAGCTGGGAGCGGGCCCTGAGGGCAAAGCGGCGCTCCCGCAGGCCACGGCGAGCTCGGCTCCCGCCAGGCCGGGACCGAGGATCCCCGGCCGAATACGGGCCTAAATGAAAACCCCGCGACGCGCGGATACGGGGGCGTCTACTCACACGTGCTGACAGGCCGCGGTCCGCACAGGCGTTTTGAGCACTTCCTGACAGACGGGGCAGTAGAAATCATCTTCGGTGTAAGGCGTGGCCGCGGAGAGCTCCTCGGCCATCGCGGAGGCTGAGGGATTCAAGGCGATGGCGGCAGCGGCCGAGGTGGCGGTAGCGGCCCGGGGCCCGACTCCCTGCTCGAACCCGGAGGGGGAGGGGAGTCCGCGTCAGGAAGCCGCTCGAGCCAGGAGGGGGCGGGGCAAAGCGGGGGCGGGACCCGGACGCGGCCGCAAAAGCGTGGCGCGGGCCAGCTTCCGAAGGCTCAGCTTCCAGAGGGCCGCGGTCAAAGACTGGACGAGAGGGAGGTGCTTGGCGAGGATCCCGTGGAAAAGCAGCGGTTGGCTTCTCTTTCGTTTCCACCCCGGCACGGAAACGGCAAGGGCCTTCCCGGGAGGATCGGGCAGCCTCCCACCCTTCCCGCCGGCATCGGTGCTCCCAGCCCTCCTGCAAGCCACAGCCTCTCTCCGGAGGCCACGCCGACGTCTAGCTCCTCAGCAGGGCCGCAGCTTCGCCTCCCGCCCCTTGTCTCCGCCTTTGGCCTCCCTTGCCCTGCAGCCCAGTGGAGCCCCCATTCGCGCCCCTTTCTTCTCCCAGCCGCCCGTCCTCTTCCCCCGCCAAGACCGCGGCCCACCCTTTCCCGTTGCTCCTCCTCTTCCTCCAGGCCCTCAGCTCCTTGCCGGGTTTCACGCTTTCTGCTCTTCACCTTGCGTAGACGCGTTCTGAGGAGCCGCTCCGCCTCAAGAATAGTGGAGCGGTTTCTCCCCCGTCGCTTGATGGTAGGGAGGTGGCCCTGCGCCGGCATCAGGCTTCTTGTCCAGCCGCTGCTGCTTCCGTAGCTGAAGCCTGAGGAGAAATGTAGGCCGGGAGGGCGACTTCCTCAGTGCTCATCGGCCCAAAATGGGGCCGGGTCCGAGGCTCATGGTGCACCGGGATGCCCCCCCACCCCCCGCCAGCAGCTCTTCCATGGCACTGCACTGCCTGCAGACTGCCCGGCCAGTCACCGAGCACCAGTGGGGCGCGGGCAAAGGCGAGAGAGTGGGGAGACGGGCGGGGGGGGGCGCCTCCATAGCAACCGGCACGTGGCGCCTTAAGCAAGTTGTGACATAAACAGCAGGGCATTTACATAACTACATCTCCAGTTTCCCTCCTAGCACACACCCCATTGCTCACCAGTCTTATAAAATATATTGGATTTTTAAAAAATTCTTCAAAAAACTCCCTGTTAAAAGATTTTGTCCCTTAGTATTTACCTTTTTTGTTTTTTGGTTGCTTTGAAGAAAAAAAAAGGGAAGCATGGATCTAGACATTTCACCAAGTTAATGTAATTAAAAGAAAAAAAAAAGTTGCTGTCTTGTTGAAAGTCTGGAACGTTCACAATTAGCTTAAGGAAAAAAATGCATTATTACCATCCTGTTTGTTATAGCTCTTGACCTTAGTCTAAATGAATCGTAATCACAAACTGTATGAGGCCCTGATCAATTTGATTCTACTGTTTTTGTCTACATTGTCCTTTGTTGTTGTTACGTGCCCTCGAGTGGCGACCCCTCAGTGGCGACCCCTCGTTGGGTTTCCGAGGCAGTATCACTATGGAAGTAGATTGCCCCATCTTCCTTCCTTAGAACTATGTTAAATGTTATGCAGGTGTCATGAACTTTGGTCTCAACCAGCTTGCGCACGCTTGGTTATCAAATGAGAGAACAAATCATGATAGATACTCCTCCTAAATTTTGCATGAACATTGACCGATTATAATGAAGATAGGAAGTGGAATGCTGGAATTACATGGCTTAACAGATGAAATGGGTCCTAATGTGCATCTTAACAATTCCTGGAATAATACTGAGGATAATTATTATTGCATTAATAACTTACTCATACTACCAGTACAGTACGGGAGCTCTGGTAGCATAGTGGCTAAGACACTTGCCTGCTAACCAGACGGCTGG